ATATAGTTATATATATAGTTACAAAGTTGTATCAAGATAAATTAATTAAGATATAAAAATATCATCGAATAATATTAGAAGAATAAATAAGAAACAGCTTTGGTGGAATATACACACATGTACTAATTAAAACATAGACGAATCGAGGTCGAAGAAGCGCCCGCGTGTTATAACGCCGAGCAGATTAACCATGCAGTTTTCAACAAAACTTCGGGCATTATTTCGAACGTATCCGCAGCAACAATGTAGGATAATAATAGAACGGAAGGAACGTGATGCCGCTTATTAAAGCCCTCGTGCTTCAACTTTCTCATCCGATTAACCGGGATTTGAATCGTACGGTTGCTCGAACGAACATAACAACGAACGAATGAACGTAAGTAGAAGCAAGTAAACGAGCAAGTAACCGAGAAAGCGAGCGAGTAACCATACAAACTGCCTGAGATATTAGGAGAGACAATGTCCTTCCATCTAAGTAACTTCGATCCGTCATAAGGATTGATAGTAACTAAAAGGTTTCATCAAGAAAAGTTAAATGTTACTGATATATTAATATTATATATATTATTTATAATATATATTTAATTAATTAATTATAAATAATATATATATTATTGATAATTAATATTAGATATGTTAATATTATATATATATATATATATATATATATATATATACCTTAATTTATAACAAGTATTTAATCGAAATTTGTATTACGTGTAATAAAAAAATGAATAGTAAGTTTTTGTTAAGTTCTTGATAAAATTCAAGATTTTATAAAAAAAAAAATAAATAAATTTTGATATATTAATATTTTATTTATATATATAAATATAAATAAAAAAAAATATATATATATATACATCTAATTAAATTATGCCGACCAGTTTAATCGAGACTTATGTTGATCGAACTATAATCAATGAATAGTAATTATGAATGATACGACACGACTTCATTTATCATTCATAATTTATCCGTACGGACGGTGTGCTTAAAATATCTCATGATGAAACCGTTGTGCGATAAAAGAAAAAAAAAAACGTAAAAATAGAGAAACAGATGACGGACGGGAAGATTATTTTCGTACGAACAAAAAAGAAAAAGAAAAAATGCGTCGCCCCGTTATCCTTCTTCCATCCCTCACCACCCTTCCCCCTATTGAGTGTATATTTTCATTGTAAAAGTTTTCGCGTCGTTCTCGTCAAGATAACAAAGCGGAAGGAAGACAGTTTCGCTTATCAAAGTTGCGAAGCGTAAACTTTCCTGATCTGATTAATCGCAGGTAGGATCGTTCGCACGATGATCTACGTACTCTACGATATGCGAATACGTGGATGGTGGACCAACCGGATGAGGAATGAGGGGATGAGGAGGTGAGGTGGTGAGGAGGTGAAGAGGTGAGGGGTTAGAAGGGTAGGGGGTAGGATGACGAAGGGATGTGGGAGTTATAGAGGTGAGGAGGAAATGTCCCTCCGAAGCACGATTTTTCAAGGGTACAGATTAGCTTCTATAAATCTACTCTTCTCGAAACTCTCCCATAGATCTCTTTTCCATGGGGGAGTTCTCGACATCGATTTTCCTACATTCACGTGAAAAACATGGATGATGTTTTTGATTTTCTTTTTTTTTTTTGAATGACTAAATTTCTCAATAATGTCACGTCGTTATCGGGAATGATAATCTTTCAATTGTAACAATTAAATCTATCGTTTTATAACGAATATCGTTTTAATTTGATCATAATTTATATATTAAATATTTGAATTAATGATCACGAATAGAATAAAAGATATTTTTTATAAATTATAGGTGGATACGTCCAACAAAATTAACATTAAATTTGTTAAATTATTTTATTAAATTAGAATAAATTTTTCTATAAATTAACGAATTATATCAATGATTTGAATTAATAAAATTAAACGATAAAATTTCATATTTTTCTCTAAATTTGAAATTTCACATGAGATATGATAATATGAACGATCATCGTCAATAATTATATTATAAAAGATGTTTCTTTTGAAATTAATAAAAAAATAAAAAGGAAAATGTGTATCTCCACCATTGGTATGAATGAATAAACATGATCAATGACTAGAGATAAATATATTTAACTCATAGTCGCTATAAATTCAAGTCGGACTATCCAATCCCCCTTCTTTCTCTCTCTCTCTCTCTCTCCCTCTCTCTCTCTCCCTCTCTCTTTCCCCGCCTTCCCTCCATTTAATGTAACTTTTAAACCGGACACGTAGACCGTAGATACAGCCAACGGACAGGTAATCATTTATTTATAAATCCGTCGCCGTTACGACGGCGAAGGGTTCAACCTTCACGTTTTCTCTTTAGCTTGGTAGGTACCCGCCGAACTAGTTTGCAAGTTCCTCTCGTACCTTTTCTGTTAAAGAGACACTCATGCCACAGAGCCAAGTGGAACAAAGAATAAACAGAGACTGTCTTCTAGTATGGCATATGACAATAACGTCATACGCTCTTCAACATCTATACTTCGTGACTCCGTACGAATTTTCTAGTAAGCTTTTCTATCAAGAAAGTTATTTAAGGAACGTAACTATACATGTATTAAACTCTAGTTACTCGAATAAAGCAACTAGATAATAAAAATAAATAAATAAAAATATAAATAAACTAATATATATATATAGATATATATGTGTATATGTGTGTATACGTGTATGCTTTTGATAATTAAATCGTTAAAAATGCAATGAGAGCTTCGCTTTAATAATACTACACGCTTACTGATCGTTCAATTCGACAACAATGAAATTGTATCAATGTAATGTCATGCTTTATGATTTTTTTTTTCTTTTTTTATTATATATGTATATGTAGACAAGGATAAAAGTTTTAAAATCTGTGTGAAAAATTATTGGTTTCTTTTTTACCTTTTTTTTTGTTACTATTTTCAAAAACGTGCATAAATGTCGCCAATCCGTGTTGATTAAAAAAGAAGGAATTCTTGATGGGTATTACTCGAGATTCAAAATAATAACGAGAACGTTATTATTAATAACGTATTCGCTTTTGATTGAAAAAAAAAAAAATAGATAAATAATAATAAAAATCGACAAAGCATTTCGAAAAAAATAACTAAGCAATTTCGTGAATTCGATTTTATACATGTATTTTTAAACATTCTTGTTAATATATGTTTGCTTAAAACTGATAACTCTCTCTTTCTCTCTCTCTCTTTCTCTCTTTCTCCTTTCTCTCTCTCTCTATCTCTCTCTCTCTCTCTCTTATTCTGTCTCCCTCTGGAAATAAAAGTTAGGCCGAAAAGGAAAAGTTAAAATATTTTCCACGCTCGTTCTAACTGTACGATACATATTTACTTTACGTATATATATATATATATATATATATATATATACTTATGTAAAGCAGGTAAATCGTAATAAGAATTTACGGTTAGTAGAAACATTAATATAACGTATATGTAATTTACCATTACATTCACAGTTTTCGTCCGCATCGTTTGTGTCGACGTTTAAAAAAAAAAAAGAAAAAAGAACAGAGAAAGAAAGGGAGAGAGAGAGAGAAAGAGGGAGAGAAAAAGAGAAAGAGAGAGAGAGAGAAACCAAACCACCATGAAAAATATAGTGAAAAGAAGATCGAGTTATACCGCGAGAAGGAAGAAATTAAAAAAAACAATATCAAAAAAAAGAAAAAATAAAAAATAAAAAAGAATAGGAAAGGAAAAATTTCCTAAAAGTTCTATCTTATCTGTCATCGTAAGCTTTTCCATCTCACCCACTATGCCTCACCTCCTTCCTCCTATCACCTATGAGATAAAAATAACTCATCCGAATCTACCCATAAAACCGACCGGATTTGAAACGACCAAGACTCCGTGGCGTAAATTTTATTTTATGACTACTTCCCGATCGAGATACGTATGGACAGAATGACAAGGGAGACAAGAAACTTCCTTCCCTTTTGGACATGTATGACGTCAGTTAGTTCAGATAGAAAATCTTTGCTGGCTTATCTTTTTCCTTTCTCACTCCATTCCAAGGAAAACGACGGAAGAACTTAAGAAAACAAGTACTTATTTACGAATAATCTCGAACACTAGTCAACCCTAAAAGATATTTTATTATAGTGCTATAATTCGTTTTTCCATAAATATATCATTCGTTTAAAACTGATTAACGATAAAGCAATTAAAATTAAGTTTGTATTGTTTTCAATTAATTTCTCACAATCGATCTTTGAAAGTATCGAAACATTTGTTAACATTAAAAATTCAATTGATCCCTGAAGATGGCTTGAAAATTATATATATATATATATATATATATATATATATATATTTGAACGATAAGTAAATAAAATTAATCGGATGAATTAACTTTCGGATAATTATCGACAGAGTTATTAACTTAAAATTATATTAATCAATTTAATTTCATTATCTGTGCCATATCAACAGAATTATTAACTTAAAATTATATTAATCAATTTAATTTCATGATCTCCGTCATATCGACAAAATTATTGTTAATTTAAAAATATAGAAATTAATTTAATAATCTTTATCATTTCGTAATCGATCCTCGGTTTTAATCGTAAATTATTTCGTTCACGATTATTTATTGAATACAGAAATTTCGTTCCTAACTATTCAAATTTGTATATTATTTTTCTCATCGATCTTCATGAGGAAACAATGATTTTCTTTTTAATCGTTATCATAATCGATAAAAAAAAATTGATAAAAAAAAATTGATCGGTCATAATTTTCATTAAAAAAAAAACACAGCTAAAATGTTAATAACGAACTCTCGTTTGAAAAGAAAGAAAGAAAGAAAGAAAACAAAGATAAAGAAAAAATAATATATTAAAAAAAAAGAAAATATAACGACGTAAATTTCGAACAACGAAACACGAAGTTCGACAATTATTATCTTCTCTTGCTTTATTATCAAAAATGCATGTGAAATTTTCATAGTCGGTTGATTTTTGTGTTCTAGATAATTAGCTACGACTCGACCAGAGGTGGCGTGTCGGTGGTCACGGAAAAGGGCGACAGTACGACGAGTTTCCTCCTCGTTCAGGAAGCCAAACCGTCTGACTCCGGACGTTATACGTGTAATCCCAGCAACGCTCAACCAAAGTCGATTACCGTTCATGTACTCAATGGTGAGTTACTTGATCGTAGTTATCATCTCTCATTCTCGGAATTTGAATATTTCCCTTTCGCTTATAATTTTCTTTTTCCTTCCCCTCACGATTTATCATTCAAGTAGTTATTATGTCTTTCAAATTTATTTTTTCATTTTTTTTTTTTTTTATCGCGCTACTCGCAATCTTTCTCTTGTAAATAACTCTAATACTTGCTCGACACGAACGAACAAAGGGAAGAAACTAAAGAAAGGAAGAAAGGAAAATGAAAAGAATGAATATAAGAAATAGAATGCACTTTCTTCGTCTGATAAAATGATCTTCTTAAGTTAAAGTAAGAGAAAAATGAGAGGGGAGAAAAAATAAAATAAGAAATGAGAAATACAAAGAGAGAGAAAGAGAGAGAGGGAGAGAGAAATGAACGGTAGCTTTCTATATCTGTCTTTTTCTCTCTTTTTTATCTGTCTCCCTTTGTCTCTTTCTCCGTCTCTCTGAAGAGGTAGACATTTTCAGAAAATTTAAGTGTTGTCCTCTGTTTCAGGAGAGTATCCCGCGGCAATGCAGCATGGCGGTCAGGCGAAACAACCGAGGCTCTACTCACTGCTGCTTTGTCTGTGCCTGCTTCTTTATTAAGGAAGGAAAGAATTAAGGAGAAAAATAAGAGGGATCGTACTCTCTCCGTCTATCACTTTCTCTCTCTATCTATCTATCTCTCTCTCTCTCTCTCTCTCTCTCTCTCTCTCTCTCCATCTTTTTCTCTCTCTATCTCTCTCTATCTCTTTATCCCTCTTTCTCTCTCTATTTATCTATCTTTCACTATTCATCTATCTACTTATCTCTTTCTATCTATTTAAAACCATAGAAACTCTGAGAAATTCTATAAGAAAGGGAATGTACCAGTGAAATTTGTCACTAATCTTTTGGTATCAATTAAACGGAGAAGACAAAGGAAAAGAGAGAGAGAGAGAGAGAGAAAGAGATAGATAGTTAGATAGACAGAAAGATAGATAGATAAATAAATAGATAGATAAATAGATAGATAGATAGATGGATGGATGGATAAATGGATAAATAGATAGAGATAGAGAGATAAAGAGAGAAAAAAAAGAAAAGAAACATAGAAATACAAAGAGATAGAGACAGGGACAGAGACAGAGAAACAGAGAGACAGAAAGACAGAGAGAAAGACAGAGACAGAGATAAAGAGACAGAGAGACAGATAGAGAGAGAAAAAGAAGGAGAGAGAGAGAGAGAGAGACAGAGAGAGAGAGAGAGAAGAAAGAAAGAAAAAAAAAGAAGAAAAAGAAAAAGATTTTAATTCAACATCCACGACGCGAGATGAGACGCAAAAAAATACTGCCCCCCCCAGCCCCTTCGTTGCACGGATTCCTTCCGCGTATTCGTCCGCAACCTTCGATTTGGTCCGCTAAACGCTCAACAAAGAAGATAATGATGATGACGATGATGATGATGAAGAAAAGGAAGAAGAAAAATAGAGGAAGAGGAAGACCAACGAGACAAGTCGTTGCTATACCTAAGCAACCCTCTACCAACTACTATCCAATCTCTCCTCCCCCCCTACATCCCTTCCCATCCAATCGTGACTTTAATCGCGGTGTGTATCCACAGAGATGATAATGCATAATCAACGACTCGGTGCTATAATCTGTTGAAACAACCAATGAATTAATTCTTCCAAATACAATCGTTCATCTCAACGACGAATTTTCATTCATCCAATAATCTCGAATGCGCGCCCGATGAAATCGATCACGATCATCCATCGATCAGATCCAATCTGATTGAATTCGATCAAACGAGTTTATAAAATCTCGATCGCTCTTGTAGATCGTTATATATATATATATATATATATATATATAATATCATTTTTTATTTCTATATTATTACAAAACAATATAAAGAACAGATACACACACGCACACGCATGCACGCACTCACACAATTTCTCTCTTTTCCTTTTAATTGTTTTTTCTGTTTTTTTCTTTTTCTATTTTTCTCTATTTTATTCTATTTTTTTTTTCTTGTTTTCTTGCAAAGATAAATCGTAACGCCTATTTGAAATACAAATGGTGAAAATGATCGAATGTATAACATGTATGTATATCTCTAGCGGTATAGATAACGCTGAAAAATACTTCAAAATAAAATGGATCGGTTTTATTTCTATAATAATGGAAACTTTTTATCCCTCTTTTTTTTCTTTTTTTTTTTATCAATAATCGATAGCAAACACGGAAATAAATGAGATCGGTCGTTCAAAGATAAAATAAAAAATTGAATAAAAAAGAAAATAAAAAAGAAATATATATATATATATGTATGTATGTATGTATGTATATATACACATATATATAGGTATGTGTGAAAATTAACAGATTAAGAGCGGCAAGGTTTCTATTCAGCCTAACTAGAGAAGAAAGAGGATGGTGGACGGGTGAATGGGACAGGAGGAGACAGGGTGGGGTTAAATGCTTTTAAATACATACACGCTTCAAACAGGTGTAATTCAATAGAATCACTAATCAGCTATTCGAACGAAAACGATGGATTGTATAGCGCGATCTTGTATATCAAGGATACTTAATTGAATTGTCATCGAACGTATGGCTAATTGAAGCTACTCATCAGCGAAAAAAGAAAGGAAAGAAAAGACTTAAAAAAATAAAAAAAAAGTTAAGGAGATCAATTTGTTCTATTATTTCGAATATTCGCGATAGAATCGATTTTAAAATCAATCGTCGTAAAATCTGACGACCTTAAAATTATTTATTACTGAAAATTATCTAACGATTAACTTTCGTATAAAAAGAAAAATGAAAAAGAAAAAAATCAAAATCTTACCAATGTAATTTCAATTTGTTTCTGACGTATACAATCGTCAACATTTTTTAAACGACGCAAAGTCGTTATTTTTTCCTATTACCAACGATATTAGATTTTTATTTATCGAAAATAGTCGATTTTTTCTTTTTTGTTCTTGTTTTTTCTATACGAAGTAAACGGATAGAAGAAATATTAAAAAAAAAAGTAAATAAAAAAATAAAAAAATAAAAAAATAAAAAGATACGATGTAACACACGAAATTGCCTCTGTTATTAATTTCAACGATTAATAACAGTCTTCAAATTGGACGTTTAATAATACTAATATTGTTGTAACGATATTAAATCAGTAAAATTGATTGAGAAAGTTAAAAAATATGAATAAATGAATGAAAAAATCAGTAAAATGTTTTTAAAATGAAATTTCTGAGACGACGATAGGATTCTGACTCGAATGAACGAACGGACCGGACTTTAGCAGCAGAACGAGAATTATCTTTCTGTTCGGTAGTCTTCTAGTAGAAAGAAGAATCTGATTAAAAAACTTTCCGATGAACCGAACACAATGGTCCGAATGCAAGTAAGTAAGGAGACGCTACCTCGTGGTCGTCCTCGTCCTCGACCTCCTCCTCTTAGTCGTGCGAATTCTTAAAGTTCTTCTCTTTCTACCTCTCTTTAAATTTCTTTTCTTTTTTACAATTCATATTATAAATCGATTCGTTTGCCAAACGATTACACGATTTATACGCAAACTAAATAATGTCTCTTTATTAATTGCAATCAATCAATCTCTTAGTCTTATTCTTTTCTATTTTTTTTTTCATTTTTTTTTTTTTTTTTTTTTAAATACAAACGAAGAAAACAAATGATCTTCCAATATCGTTTCGTTAATGGATTAAATTTAATAATAATAATAATAATAATAATAATTAATTAATTAATTATTTAATAAGAAATACATTTGAATATAATTCAAGGTTCTAAAAATATGCAAACGCGTATAAGAGCAAAATATGTGATGAATATGATAGATGAGCAAGAGAAACAAACAAAAAACCAACAAAAAAATAGAGAAAGAAAACAGAAAAAAACTTCATAAAAATAACGACTAAAGTACTTACATACATACATTTCACATGGCAACAATGGATAATTCAGATTTGAAAAAGACTACAAAGATGAGTAGTGTAATATATATATATATATTAATATATATATATAATATATATATATATATATATTACACTACTCATCTCTGTACTCTTTCGTTAATCTAACTTCCATAGATTAAAATCGATCTCGAAACGAAATTGGCTTTGGCACGTTCGATTTAACGATCGATACACACATGCTACTATCATTTATTTTACCTGCTCGATTGGTGCCGAGAGAACACGAAAAATCGATTATTAGTACGGAGTCTGTATATATATATATACACACACATACATATCGTACTCCTTCTCTCCTTTCCCTTCATCAATCAACCCAGACGCGATTGGTCGTCATCGTGTAAAAGTTACGCTTTTAGGACGAATCGACGATGAGTTACGTTTTACATTGAATTGGTTATTTAAAGGAAAAAAAAAAAATAAGTGTATGAATCCGAGAAAAAAAAACAGAGATAGAAAAAGAGACAGAGAAAGAGATAGAATGAATAATAGAGGAAGAGAGAGAGATGGGGAGTTGCCGCTCTTAATTTTTTAATTTTTCTCTTCTTTTTTTTTTTTTTTTTTTTTTTTTTTTGAAAAAAATAGAAAAATAAAAATTGTAAGAAAGACAGAGATGGAGAAGATTAAAAAGAGGAAGAGAAAGATAGAGGAAGTATTTTTTATGTCCTTCTCTTTCTTTTTTTTTTTCTTCTTTTCTTCTTTTTTCTTCACGAATTAATATTATTTGTCAAGAAAATTTATTATAAGATAGAATCTTTCATTATAAATCCAGTGCCTACCTTTCATTTTTTATCTCGTCTCCTTTAATACTTAGAGGATTTACGATCTCTCTAAACGAATGAAAAAATATAATAAGAGGTGACCGTAAACATGGCTTATTTAATGCTTAACATAAAATAATCGCTCTTAGGTAAGGCGATATTTTAGTGGTACGGTGTGTGGCACAGCGTTTTATATTGTTACATGGGGTTGCCATGAAACGATCTACGTAGTACTTACACGTTTAATATGACAAATAGTCTCTCGGGTACAATCATGAAACTACCGCATAAATGGCCGTCGATGTTTGTGCTTTTGCTCTCTACAATTTTCCACTGGAATCAACACATTTACTCCCATTGACAATTAACCAACATGATATATATATATATATATATATATCTTTTTTATAAAAATAAATTTTTTGAACGAACTTTTTTACCCCTCCCTCATTTTCGAATCTAGAATTCTACGAATGAAAAATATCATTTCAAATATTTTATATATATATATATATATATATATATTTTTTTTCATACGATTCGTTAAAAAAGAATAAATTAATCATATGCGTAGTAAAATGAGATTGTTTTTCATTAAAGATATTCATGTCGCAACATCATAATGTCTCATGACAAATTCAAAAAGCAAATGTACAAAATATCTCTGTTAACTATAACAATATCTCTTAAATACTATATCATCACATAGAATTATAAATCAATGAAAACTATTTTATTTTACAAAATTAAAAAGGTTCTCTTGTGATTAAATTCTTTGTTTAAAAATCGCAAATTTGTAAAATTCATATTCTTGTTTTCAAATCGCGCATATACGCGTGAAAAAAAAAATGAATATTAAAAACAATGATGATTTAATTATTTCACAATATCAAACGATATCGTTTATTTTATCTTTAATTTTCCGAATTATATATATATATATATATATATATATATATATAAATGTTTTTTTTTTTTTAATTGATAGATCTCTCCGTAAATGCGGCAAATTCAAGTAGTAATCGACGTGCAGAAAATCTGAACGAGTTCAAGCAAAAACCAAAACTTCATGGTTCTGGCATATGCTTTGAAGTTTTTAATTCAACGGCTGAATAGGCAAATCAAAAAGCGTATACCCACTTGCTAACGATCACTTTATCGGCACCAATTACTACTACGTATATTATTCGTTCGTAGCGCGTGCACGGACTTCCGAAGAGTTAGAGCAGGGATTTCACGTAACAATTTATAAA